CAGTCTACACAACGCACAGCCTACACAACACACAGTCTACACAACACACAACACTCTACACAACACACAGTCTACACAACACACAGCAGTCTACACAACAACAGTCTACACAACACACAGCAGTCTACACAACAACAGTCTACACAACGCACAGCCTACACAACGCACAGCCTACACAACACACAACAGTCTACACAACAGTCTACACAACAGAAGTCAACACGACGGTCCTCAGAACAGAGTGGGTTCTTGCTAAGCACCAGTTCTGAGAGCCTGGAGCCGGTGCAAGATTGTAAATGGACCCCCCCGAATAATTTTAAAGATATAAATAAATATGAACATAGACAACAAAATTCAAGCACAACCCCAACCCGGGGGTCCAAACTCCGCTGTGGAATTCTGAGCCCAGGTCCATTTTCAAGGGGGTCCATATGCAATACTGCACCAGTGCTTCAGTGGTGGAAACACAAGGAACAGGTGCTAAGTCAGGCACGAGTACGGAACCAGCACTGGAACCGCTTTGGTGGAAAAGGGGTATCAGAGATCCTGGTCAGGGGCACTAAGGGGTTCTGCCAGTCCCGAAAAACCCAACGACACAGAACAACAACACAACACAGAACAACTCACAGAACAACAACATAGAACAACACAACACAGAACGACAACACGACTTGTTCTGTGCATCATGTTCTTCAGATCAGTTCATCAGAATCATCAGTGAACATCCGGACACACTTGAGGAGGATCATTTATGAATAAATAATGAATCAATGTGGTTCTGACAGACTCCAGGTCAGACACCTGGATCCATTTCATTCAGATCATTTATATTTACAGAGTTTGGAAAGAAACAGTTTACAGTTTGACAACAAGTCCTCCGTTGATCAGGATCACTTCTGATAGGAGCTGCTATAACTAAACCCACAGCTGAGGAGACATGAAGCCTGAGGAGTCAGACCGGATGCTCTCAGCAGCTTCTTCTAAACAGTGGATTCACTCAGCAGCTCAGTGAACGTGTTCCGACTGAAGCTTCGTGTTGACAGACTTCCAGCTGATCGAAACATCCTCAGAGTCCGGAAACAAACAGGCACAGAACAAAAGCTGATTTAAAATAGACCAGAACTGACACTGAATAAAACGTATTCGTCCATGAGGATCAGCTCATGAAACTACAGCTGATCAGGTTCCAGAGAAAACACGTGTGTACACTGCGCCGCAGCTAATGCTAATGCTAACTGCCGGAACACTTTAACAGACACACCGACGGAATACGGAGCACTTCCGGGACTCGGCGTTCAGACAGCAGCTGCCGGAGCGACTCACTAACGAGACGACACGTTTAAACACACTGTTAAAGTGAAATAAAACTGAAACAAGCTTTAAAACTCAGAGAGAAGTTTACATACGTTCAGCTAGCATCGACATCTTGGGGTCCTGACACAGCGTGACGTCAGCGCAGGAGGCTTCCGGGAAGATGCCTGAACGGAACCTGTGACACGCAGCTGCTGTTAGCAAAGACTGAGAAGTTACTGGAGGTTTATTTGTCCTTATAAAAGTATTAGACAGGTGCCATATCCGAAATAAGATGAACAGTTTTTATTAAAATTTATCTTTTAATTTGTTCGCTGCATGTGGTTCTTTTGGCCAGCAGAGGGCGCCACAGCCACACAGCGACAGCACGAGGTCACGTGGCTGCAGGTGTTCTGCAGGTTTAATAAAAAACACTGATGCTGCTCGACAACACAAAGAAAATATGCTCAAAATATATTTTAAAAAAAGTTTGGTCAACAGAGTTGTGATATTTACATTAAATTCAGCTGAAAAAACATATATATGTTTATAATTGATGCATCTGTTCCAAAACAGAATGGATAGGTCTGTTTTTATCAACATGGGCAGTAAGATGAACCACTAGAAACTGAACTTAAGTCATTTATATTTGAATGGCTCAACTTGAATACTCAGTGGAATAAAAGCCAATTTACATTTAAATCACAATTATTCAAGTTGAGTGGTTCAGATCCAGTTTGTAGCCCTGCTGCAACATTTGCTCATTGGGTCTGAATTTAGTGTTTGGTTCACATAAAGTTTCCACCATAAACTGCAGTAAAGCAACACACTGGTGCATTAGAATTACTGTTTTTATCTGTGTTCATTGAGCTCCACCCAACTAAACTCTGATATAAAGTTCAAACAAACTGTTGCACAATTTCTTTGCTCCAATATTTGCAGCTGATCCAGAAACTTCTTCACGTTTCGTAGCTGCATGTGATGCTTCGGATGTGCAGCAGCTGCTTGAACTTTATGTTCTGGCAGATTTACAGCAGCTAAAGGAACATCTGATCACAGACAGATTAAAAGTTGTAAATCATCATTCAGGCTCCGTGATTCTGTTGCTAAACCAGAAGCGCCGGAGCTGCACCTGAACGCAGCAGCTCAGTAAACAGCTGCAGCTGAGATGTGAAATATGTCCGAGGCTCTTATGTAAGCTGCAGTCAGTGTGACGGGGAGAGACTCAGACAGGCTTTTAAACATCTCATCTATGTTCCTGGACTGAATGTGATCGCTGCTGAACATTAAACTCCTCTAAAGTCTGAAAGCTCCACATGACGGAGGCTTCGGATCCAGAAAGTGTCCTTGAGTCACTTTGTTGGAATATTTATCAGCAGAAGGAACACCTTGATATGAGGCGACGTGCACGAGGTGTTTTTATTTCAGTTGAATATTATCACAGATTTGAAGTGAGAGCAGGAGGACTGAGGTCAGCGTCCTTCCTGTTTACAGGCGTTTTAACCAGAGACATAAATCTGTGATATTTACTAGATTTAGGAGTCTTTGTTCATCCAGCACCTAAAACTCTGCTGAGCTTCACACTGTAACCCTCAAACAGACAGTCAGCTGGTCTCGTCTGCTCACGGCTCGCTCTGCTTTAGTTCTCAGCTAAAAACAATAATATTTAACTCTTTGATAAATGTTCAAGTCAAACGCTTTTGTTTATTCAGCACATCATTTTACATGTTAAGTGAGAAAAATTCATGTCAACTCACAAGTTTAAATGTTGATGTTAACTTGATTAAATTAATTAAGAATGTGAAGAACCCACAATATCACTAAATGTGACCTTAAGAATGTGAATATTGGATTAAACCAGTATTTTATGTAACACAAACTAGAATTTAAATGTCAAGGTCAGTTATGGTTCCAATGTTTGTGAAAAGTTTAAATATTAAGAACCCACAATATTTTATGTCACAGAGTTTGATCTGACTTGTTCAAATCAGAACGTTCAACAACTCAGACGACCCAAACCCTCGGCGAGCAGCTCCAGGAGAACGTTCTCAGAGATCTAAAGGCGAAACTGTTCCTGTCCTGTTTTCAGAGCTTCTTTACTCTGAGGATTAGATGTTGGTCTGCTGGTCCAGGGTCAGGTCTGTGTGCTGGTTCGTGCAGCTGAAGCCGTTTGATCCGATCCCTGATCTGTGCTGACTCGTGGGATTACAGCCGGTTGTGTAACAGACACCTGACGGGATCAGGACAGACGTGACTCTTCATGTCGAGACGAAAGCTGAAGCTGCCGTTAAAACTTTTGCTGTGAAAAACACCTGAATCAAAGGAAACCTCTGACTGATTCAGACCAACACTCTGCTGATGGGTTCACATGATGCTGATTCAAGCATGAAGTTGATTTAAAGAAAATTCAAATCGTTGTAAATCCATTAAACTGACTTGATACTGGAAGTTTCTCCACCTTGGAGTCGGGATTCAAACGTTCTCTCCTGCATCTGCTGATCTGGTTTCATGTTTAACTTTTCATCAAGTCCCTTTAAACAACGTTGACTCTGATGCTGTTCTGCGTGGATCAGCCGACGTCTCAGGTTGTATCCAACCTGATCAGCAGGTCCGTCTTCATCAGGATGTGCTCAGAGAGAAACCGGGTTCCACAGAGAGCACAGAACGTCTGACAGCAGCAGAATCAGGTCCATATCTCAGGTGTTTCCGCTGGTTTCACCTTCATTCTAGAGGTTCTTTCTAGAAGCAGCTTCTTCCACTGAAGGTCTGAGCTCCACCGGCCCTGGACGACTGGGACTCTACAGAACCGAACAATAAAATCAGTTTGTCTTGCTGGAACAAGCTCACTTTCCTTCCAGCTCATCTCTTATTTTATTGGACTGATTATGTCCAGATTTCAGTGACACCAAATCCTACCTATATGTTTAGGAGACCATTAGAGGATCATGTAGATGTTTCTGTAGATTCTCATTCAGACCTCAGTGATCCTTCATCAGAAGCAACAAGTTTCTGTGGTTCTGACTGACTGATGGAGTTCCAGATGTTTAGAATCATCATCACAGACTGCTTCCACACCATGTGTCCATCTGCTGCACTGGTGAAGTTCTGATGGAAAAAGTCCATTAAAGTGATCAATCTGGACCCTCCTCTGTGGACTTCAAGGACCTGGACCTCTGGAACATTCACAGTCTGAAGGTAGAACTCTGGTCAGTAGATAAAGGTTCTGCAGATACAGAACCAGATGATCTGAGGAGGTTCTGGAGGAACTCACTGATTTCTTTATTGCACCTTTATTGGGTTTTACAGAACTTACTGACAACACAAGCTCAGAATGAATAAAACAGGAAATAAGATGTTAAAACACGGAGCAGAAACTGATGTAACTGTGAAGAACACGTGAAGAACACGTGAAGAACACGTGAAGAACACGTGGCGCTAAACATTTCTCAGTACTCAGCTCTTCTGCAGAAGCTGCAGCAGAAACTGACACCCTAACATTCAGACCAGTTTCTGCTGAGGCCGTGTGTGTGTGTGTGTGTGTGGCTGGTGGGCGGAGCCTCCTTCCTGTGGGGGGTGTGGGCCTGCGTCTCCACGGTAACGGCCTCCATGTGGTGCAGCAGCTGGGTTCGGCGTCTGGCTCTGATCCCAGCACCTCTTTATGTCTCACTGCAGTGTGAGTCCGGCTACACAACCAGCACTACACAACACAACACAACACGGGGGCCCAGCTGCCCACCGAGCCCTCTGATTGGCTGCCCACAGTGTGTGTGTGCGCACACGCCCAGCGAGACGTCTTACATAAGAACCGAGGTTCCTTTACAGAAACAGAACAACATGGAGGCAACGAGGAGACTGAGACGGGCCTTTGTTCCTGCAGAACCTCTTCTAGGAAACACACACAGCAACACACACACACACACACAGCAACACACACACAGTAACACACACACACACACAGTAACACACAAACACAGTAACACACACACACACACAGTAACACACAGTAACACACAAACACAGTAACACACACACACACACAGTAACACACACACAGTAACACACAGCAACACACACACACAGTAACACACAGCAACACACACACACACAGTAACACACAGTAACACACACACACACACACACAGTAACAGAAACCACAGACTGACACTGAGGCGTGTTGTTAGCGTGTTCTGGGCTGTAGAAGCTCTTCATACGTGTTGAGCCTGACAGACGTGTTTCATCACAAGCAGACGGTTTCTAATGTTGATGAAGAACTCATGTGAAGAGCTCGTTAGCAGACTCAGATCTCTCCTCCATGTTTGTACAACTTATTGTTTTGCTGTTAGCTTGAGATGAACTGGATCAGACTGAAGCTGATGTGAGTCAGTGGAGACGACAGCAGATCTCTGAGTCTGACTGATGCTGTCTCAGGTAGACGATGGAAACGTGGGTTCATGAAGGTTTCTGGAGATGGACTGATCTGTTTGTGCAAATGAACTCTTCATATATTAAATGTTTTTCCAACGTTATGATCTGAACTGTTTGAACAAGAGCAGAAGATGAAACCTCTCTTCCTTCTCATTGTGTCCTCCAGCGTCCTCCTGAAGATGTTCCACCTTTACAGAGGTTCTTCTTCAGCTCTGACCGACTGATGCTGCTGCAGTCAGCCTCAGGAGTGACTCACCTGTCAGCAGGTGTGGACGTGGTGCAGTCAGGTGATGCTGCTGATCCGCCCGCTGACACAGCAGAGGATCTGAACCACGTCAGCAGAGACTCACCACGCTGAAGGAACGCCCTGGAGATCTGAGCTCCACACGCTGTGACATCACCGGAGCCACTTGTTCATGGACAATGAAACAAACAGTTCTGACAGAACCTGATGCAACAATGTTGAGTTTCACAGATACTATATTAAAAATCCCATGGCAGCGTGTTGAGCAGAAACCTGATGAGAAGAAGGAACTCCGTCAGACTCTGTGGCTGAACTCAGATTATATTGGCGTTGCCACGTTTCTGCTGAGCTGCCGACAGAAAACCTCCCTGATGGTTTCACAGGAGAACAGAAACTCTGACAGGATTTTACAGCTGAAACGATTCAGACACCAACAGAAGAACCTGCAGTTTGTAACTTGAAACTATTACATAACAGAAATGCTGCTGACACGTTTGTCAGAGTTCTTCCTCGTATTTCGTCTTTGCTCTGCTGAAGGAGAACACAGACTCCTTCTTTGTGTCTGATTTAAATCAGAGTGAAGCTGCTGCAGGTTCAGGATCTGTGAAGAATCCTGTCAGAGTTTCTGCAGTTTTACTGACACGAGAGCAGAAAGTAAGTGAAGCTCCTGCAGAGCCGAAATAAAAACCTGCTGCTGTGTCGAGTTCTGCAGCTGCTGAACTGAATCAGCTGATCGGTTTCAGAACAAAACAAGGTGACCTGAACACAGAAACTGAAGAAGCTGCTGTCCTCAGACGAAGGACGCCTGTGGTCTCCATCAGTCCACCTGCATGAACATGGTTCTACAACGAGCTGAGAGCAGCAGAACCTTCTCAGTTCTGGACCTCTGGACTGTGTCTATCTATGTCTGCATCATGGCTCCACATGGAGAAGACCTGAACAGAGGAGGAGAAACATCTGACTGAGAGACTGGACAAAGATGGAAAAGGATCCAGAAGATCAGTGAGCAGCTAGAACCCAGTGCAGCCCAGTGTGAGCAGGAACCAGGAGGTCCAGAAGGAGCCACAGCAGCACTGATCAGGGCTGCAGTGGTCGTCCTCCTACAATGACTCCACGGACAGTCAACTACTGTCACTATGGAGCTGTGGACACCAGACAAAGGCAGCTGCTTCAGACTTGGCACAGGGCTGATCAATGGAGACCAGAGTTAGTGTGAAGCTCACACAGTGTGAAGGACACTTCAGAACATCTCTGAAACTCCTATAAAACAGACACGAAGACACAGTTTGTATCATCATGTCTCTAAAGCTCACGCTGAAGATGATTCAGGACTTTACCTTCATTCTCTGGTTTGTCTGACTGTTGTTAAAGCTGCATGTTGCTGTTGACACAGAACCGTCTTAAAGCTTCAACACAGCTTTAAATGAAAGGCTGCGTTTATATCTGCACAGCACAAGTCAGAGCAAAGAGCATCTCCACAGGTTTCCCTCCACAGTTCCTCCTCATTCATGACTTCTTCACTTCCATGAACACAACAGCAGCAACAACCAGATCTGAGGTGGATCTGGTGACTGTCAGAACGGTCAGTGATGTGAAGAGTGAGGACATAAAGTCCAGTTAAAGTTCTGGAGGTTGTTCTCAGACCGACAGGAACGTGGAGAGGTCGCTCCATCAGCAGCTGGAGATGATCGGAGAAGGTTGGAACCCAAATAAAACGCCAGAAGCAGACAGACGTACGCTGAAAAAGTTTTATTGTCAAAGCTCATCGTGTGATTGACAGAACAGAATCAGAACCACAGAGCGGCTACATGGAAATAAAATAACAAACGTGGACAGAAACGCTGAGAAAGTTAAGAAAAGATTTTCCTGCTGAAGCTCCCACATGTTTCACAGCGACAGAATAAATAGGTTGAGGGAAGAATCTGTGTCGGATCAGAACCTGTCAGAACCTGCAGGGTTTCATTCCTTCTGAAGTGCTTCGGGATAAAACTGGCCCGACTTCAGCTCTGGAGCTTCAGCAGAACCTGAATGTTGACAATCCTCAGACATTTAACAGAATGAAGCTCTGACAGACGTTCAGCTGATTGTTACCCAAACACTCCTCAACATGCAAGTCGTCGTCTTAAGGCCCGTTAGAATCCCTGATACTGCCGACACCAGAACCTGCGAGCAGGAAAAGGAAAGAGAGCAGAGACAGCGGGAGGATTGTCCGACCCGCTTAAGTTCTGGAGGCGTCGCGGCGGCGAGCTGAGCCCTTTAGTTTACCGAGAAAGAACCAGCATGTACAGCTTCTATTCTCTTTGGTCAGTCTTTACATTATGTACAAAGAACCAGCGGCGCCGCCTCAGTTGGCGCGAGCCATCCGGGTTTCTGCCCCGAAGTAGTTGAGCATGGTCTGGACGAGCTCCGGCAGGTCGTAGTCGTGTTTCCAGCCCCAGTCCTTCCTCGCATTGGAGTCGTCGAAGTTCATCGGCCAGCTGTCGGCTGAACAGACAGAAAAGTTTCATTAGAACGTGTTCATCATCACAGAAACCTGCCAGCAGGAAAAATCCAACAAGTCTGAGCTTCATATCGAGACATTTCATCAGAAATCACATCATTTTCCAATTTCCAATTCAAAATTGGCCAAAAACCCCAAAACTGTCAGAACCAGAAGTTCTGCTCATCTCAGCTGTTCAGTGTTCAGCTGAAGGCAGGAAGCTAAAGCTGTCAGGAGGAAACATCTACAGGAGAGCAGCCTCCATGTTTCCAGTGGTTCACATCTGTGGAAGCACGTTGGTTTCACGTTTTTACATTTTTGCATCAAATAACAAAGAAATGAGCCCAAAGTGAGGAGAAGTTTGACAGAAACTTTCGGGGGTTTTGGTGTCTTTCAAGCAGCAGATTCATGCAGGACTCAGATCTCCTCAGCTCATGATCGGACCAGTCGCGGGCGTCTCACCGATGGCCTGCCGTACTGGGTCCACGTCGTACGTGACCTCCAGCTCGGGCATCTGTTTCTGCAGCTCCTGGCTCAGCTCCTCGGGCGTGAAGCTCATGGCGTTGATGTTGTACGTCCTCATGCTGAGCGAGTCGGTCGGCGCCTCCATCACCTCCAGCGTGGCCCGAAGGCAGTCGTCGATGTACATCATCGGCAGCCGCGTGTCCGGCTTCAGGTTGCACTCGAACTTCCCGCTCTTGATGGCGTCGTGGAAGATCTGCACAGCGTAGTCTGAAGGTAAAGATTAGAGTTAAATCAAACTCCTGATCAGGCAGAGACGGATCTGAAGCTGACTGCGGTTCTGAAAGCCGATCGGAGCTCGTTGCTGAGTCTGATCGAAAAACGCAACAAGTCCTGACAACTCAGTTACACAACTGGCTGAAAGAGGACAGCAGCGACCGGGTCTGGGTCGTACCTGTGGTGCCGCCTCCCGGCATCGAGTCTGCAGAGATGATTCCTGGATAACGGAGGCAGCGGAAGTCCAGCCCGTAGCGGTGGTGATAGTACTGATGGACAGAAGGACGTGTTACTGACATCAGCAGGTCCAACATTCATCTCCAGGTGTTCTGATAATTATTCACTGTCAGTCATCTGAAACCCTCTAAACTCTCTGACTTCAGCTTCTTCAGTCAATGTTTTCTGGTTCCAGTAAACTGAACATCTTTGGACCAAACAGGACCTTTGAGGACCTCTGACCCACATGTAGATGGATCCAGAAACAATCCTGACTCAGATCAGAGGTCTAATTTACAGACTAAACTTCTGATAATCTTTTAGCTGTTCTCGGTGTTCTAACCTCTCCCATGAGCTCAGCGTGGACTTTGGAGACTCCGTAGATGGTTCTGGGTCTCTGAACACACAGGTCCGGTGTCGGGTTCCGAGGGGAGGTGGGCCCAAAGGCTCCGATGGTGCTGGGAACAAACAGACGGAGACCGTGTTCTGCTGCGATGTCCAGGATGTTGTGAAGCCCTGAAAGAACGCAACCAGTCCGTCAGTACACAACAACAACAACAACAACAACAACAACAACAACAACAACAACAACCTGCTGAACCGGCTCACCTGTGATGTTGACAGAGCGAGCTAAAGCTACGTTAGCTTCTCCAACGGCACTGAGCAGAGCGCTGTAGTGGACCAACCAGGTGATCCGGTTGTTCACCACGATTTCACGAAGGTTCTTGTAGTCCAGGATGTCTGAGTAGATGAAGGGACCTGAAGGAGACACAACAGTCTGTCTTTAGATCTGCTGAGAACAAGAACAATTCACCGACTTCCTGTGGTTCTTTAAAGGTTCTTCATGTTTCAGGTGACAGCATGAAGTCATGATTTCATTCTGATGAATCATTTGGTGATGAAACATCAGAATCACAGTTTGCCATCTTAGAACATGTTCTGTCTGAAGAACCCAAAATAACAAATGTGTTCTGATGGAACCAGAAATGCTGCAAATTCTTATATTTCCATTTTTGGTCTAAAAACAATGAACTATTTAGTCCTGTCATTAAAGTGGAACCAGGCGGATCCACAAAGAACTACCTGGAAAACGGTTCCTTAAAAACCTCCCGTGGCTCTTTGGAGCACCACTTATGGTGCCTAATGGAACCATTTTTTGATGGTTCTTTGAGGCACCTTTGGAGGTTCCTATAGAACCTGATTGTGGAACGAACAGTGGTGCTTTTGTGGCATTTTTGCAAGGAACCATTTCTTGGTTCCAGTTAGCACCTTTATTTTTCTGAGTGTAAATGAGTCAGTCAATATAAAATCTACCAAATGTGACCAAAGTTCCTCCAGAACTTCTGGTTCTGTATCTGCAGAACCTTTATCTACTGACCAGAGTTCTACCTTCAGACTGTGAGGAGACCACAGAGGAGGGTCCAGATTGATCACTTTTACACCTTAAACTTGGTTCTGTTGCTGCTGATATACCAGAACCACGTCCAGGGTACCAACGATTGTTTCTATGACTCTATGTCATAGACAGTAACCTGGTACCACTACGATCCATCCCATAATACTGATGCTAGCAGCTGCTGACAGAGGACGTGACCAGAACCAAGTCCAGTGTTCAGACGGATGGATGGATGTAGACCTGATCTGGGGTCAGTGTTTGCTGCTAGTCAGGATGCTGTGAGTCAGTGGATGTTGGTCTGAGCTGCTTCCAGCTGCTTGACGTCACGTATTGATCTGACGGTGACGTGTTCCCGCCGCCGGTCGATGTGAAGCAGGAAGTGTTGGCCAATGATGTACTTTAGTCATGTCAGGCTGAGTCAGCCCAACACCGAGCAGCTTGTTGCCAAATCTGTGAATTTTGTGAGTTGTGCTTTCAGTCAGACTTTGAGCTGCTCGTGTGATGAAACCTGAAGTGTTGAGACATGAGCAGAACGTTTCCTGAGCTGAGGGGTGAGTGTGTGTGAGTGTGTGTGAGTGTGTGTGTGTGTGAGACAGTGTGTGTGAGTGTGTGTGTGTGTGTCTGTGTGTGTGTGTGTGTGTGTGTGTGTGTGTGGACGGTAACCTGAGGTCAGGTGTTTGCTCACCGCTGTGGAAGACGTTGCTGGGAGGCTTCCTGATGTCGGACAGAATCACGTTGTTCTTTCCAAACCTCTTCCTGAAAACAAACCACAGTTACACAACGCCGACACACTGCTGCAGCTCAGCGGGTGGGTTCTGAGTTCTGACAAGTACCTGAGCAGTTTGGCGAGTCCGACTCCGAGCTGCCCGAGTCCACCTGCAGACACAAACACAGTCAGCCCAGGACACGGCAGCCAATAATAACCAGTCTCCATGGAGACCGGAGTCGCTCAGGTCGACTCCCACACCGAGTCCAGCTGGCAGCTCCTACTGCCAAACCAGCAGAACCGGCAGAACCGGCAGCAGCTCATACCTGTGATCAGAACCTTGGGGTGGTCCGTCTCGGAGAAGGACACCGAGTGGAAGCTGGCGTCGGACGTCACCTGTCGGGGGGAGAAGCTGATGCTGCGGACCGCCACCATCAGAGGCTGACAGCTGCAGCCGGAGAACAGAACCGGCTGGGCCTGCTGGACCTGCCGGGCCACTGTGCGGAGGGTTCTGATGACAGGCATGACGGTAACCTGCAGGGCACAAACACCGGGTCAGTGCCAAGTCATACATTGCACACAAACCCAGCTTTCTCCTTCACACAGAACCAGAACTCTGATGTAACCAGCAGCCTGTTAACTCTGGACTCAGAACCAAAAGACAAACTGAGCCTGAAGGACACAGTCCAGGACCTACAGAACCCTGAGAGCTCATCCTCACTTTGCGCCGCTGCAGCCAATAAGATCAGGAGGCGGACCGGCACCGAGCCAGACTCCCGAACCCGGCAACGTGCCAGGAAACACACGGACAAGGTCTGGATCTGGACTCTGACAGGAGATTGTCGGGCTTAAATCTGGAAGTTCTTCTAGAGAAAACTGATTCTTCATTACAGTGAATCGGAACCAGAACACCGAGAAAAGCTGCTCGACGGAACCGTTAACACGTGAAACGGGCTCTGGGCTGAATAAAGCGGGTCAGCGGGGCGCTGGAATCGATCCAGAACCTGAATCAGTGTCAGCGGGACAAAGCTCAGAACCACGAGGATGGGTCCTGAACCGGGCCTGTGCCACGTTTTCAACAAAGAGAATAATCCCGACCCGGCTGCAGGGACATTCAGAACGCGTGTGTATGAAGCGACAGCCCGTGGCTCGGTACCGGGACTCACCGTGCGTCTCTCTGCTGCTCCTCGTATCTCCGGCTGCTCTTGCATCAGCTGCCCTTTATGCGGCGGCTGCTGCTCGGATTGGTGGAGCTCCGGAGGTGCGGTCCTCCTCCAGGCTCCTCCTCCTGCCGCCGCCGGCTCCGGTGCGGCTCTGCCGGGCAGCCTGAGGCCAAGCAGCCGCTCAATGTGGCGCCTCCAGACATGTGACTGCAGCTGATGTGGATGTGACAGAACAAGGAGGTCTGGAGCTGCAGCAGGTCCCTGGAGGAGACCAGGAGAGCCTCAGACTGACCGGAACCGGCACAAAGAAGCTTCACATTTTATTCTCATTACTGCAGTTTTCCATTTAAAAAAAGAAAATGTTTCATAGTCGAACCAGAACAAAATGACAGAATCTGTTACTTCCTGTTTAGATGCTCCTGCTGCCCTGAATCACTGATGAACTCACACTGATCCACATCTGCAGACTTTCTACTGAGTGACCAACAATCAAACTAGACTTCTATCCTAGAAAATGGACTCACAGCCTTTACTGATGTGGGACAGGATCCTGGTTCACCCATCAAGCTGAACTTCATGCTGTTTTTATAAAACACTAAAAGAAAAGAGACAAACGTGAATAAACGGAGTTGAGCATCGATGAGGCCCAACAGAAGTCTGCATGAAGCCTCCAGACCGTCGCTCTGGGTTCTGCTCCAGAGGACACAGGAGCAAACTCACATCCTGGTCTTATGTTCTGTCCTCTAAACGTGTTCTGTCCTGGAGCTGAGCAGCTCCTGAGTCAGCTGCTGGAAGATGTTTGAGCAGAGCTTCTCTCTGAGCTCCATCACCATCGTGTGAAACAGCAAAACCAGTTCAGATGCACAGCACGAGTTTGTTCAGACTGAAATCTGGACTTCCTGTTTTGATCCAGCTCTAAAACACTAAAGTGGATTTCTGTGGATGATGACAAGACATTTGAGGAGTTTCTGAAATCATATCTAAGCAAAAACATCTTCAGTGGACACCAAAGAGACGCATCAGACTGTGATGTGAGGAACCAGAAGCTTCAACACGTCTGCTCAGAACATGACTCATTGACCAGCAGCTGATCGACCTTCTGCCGATGTTCTGACTGATATGAACTCATGCTGGTCAGAAACACAGACAGCAGTCCACCAGTCACACACCATCTCATTCACCTCCAACTACTGGGATAATTCATTGATCAGTTTAAGTCTAAATTGGATGATTGATCCAGAACACGGTTCAGCCGGAGTTCTGTCAGACGGGTTTAGAGCTGCAGGTCAGAGCGACCTTTAAAAGCCCGCCAGCCTTTCTGGGACACCAGATCAGAACCAAACACACTTTGAATGGAGCAGCAGGGGGCAGGGCTTCAGCGCAGAGCTGGCCTCTGATTGGTGGACGTCAGCACACACCCACACCTGTCATCAGTGGAGGAAACATTCCTAAAAACAAGTTAATGATCAACCCCAGTGAAAACACGAGCTGCTATCTGGAGGAAAAACTGAGATTACGTTTATTTAAATCTAATCAGACTTATTGAGACTGAACTGACGTAACCTCCAACCTGAAACCTGCAGGAAACCTGAGAGGAACCTGATCCGAGAGGTGATGCAGCGTTGAAGGTCCAACAGCAACAGCACGTCAGGTCCAGTAGCTATTCATGGATCTTTGTGATGAGTGGAGTCATGAATGATGGCAGCAGGTCGACCTGAGTCAACAGTGAAGCAGGTGATCGGCTGTTTGTTCCATCACAGCAGAGAATCCTGGTCAAAGAGCTGCAGCGTCCTCTGACACACAGACACAAAATAACACAGTCTGAGCTTTGGTGCTAAATGAATCAGGTTCATCTCGAGAAAAAAAAATCACTGTCGAGTCTCAGCCTGAACATCCATCACAGAGTCTATTGAAAACGTGTGAAAATTTAATGTTGAGCTACTGAAACAGTGACATTCTGATGCTAAATGTTCCCAAGCCTTTGGATTGGAACCAGGAAATGTTGGATCTGAGTA